AATTAATTTGTTGACATTCCTCCCTGTCTCTGTTTCCTGTTTCAATCAGCATGAAGTCTTCCAATTCTGTAACAACAACTTCCAATACAGTACTATAACAATATAATCAAGGCTGTCTTCTTTTAGCCTCACTGTATCAACATAGACAGTCCTACATTAGTACAAGTCTATAGTAGTATCAACTTTATTCCTAGAGTTCAGTTCCACTGTAAGCATAGAAAGATCCCCATAAAGGAGTCTTCTCCATCAACAAACTGGGGACGGCTGCCATAAGACACTACAGGGTACTGTGGCATATGATCCAAAGGCCTGGCCTACTGAATTCTGACTGCAGTAGCCTAATGCAGCTGTGCCCTACAGGTAGTGTTACAACGTTGGGTAATGTGTTATCAATTAGAACTTAACGTAGTATCTTGTTCCATTTTAAAATAAGACTAATTAAATTTTTCAAATCACCCTTTGTAATATAATTAGAAATCACCATTTTGTTGCTGTTATTCCCAATTAAGGTGCTTCAGAGCATGTGTTTGTTAAATTGGGTGCATTTTTTGGAGAATCTGAAACATTAGTGATAAAGGGGATGGACTGGCACTGGAGAAACCCAGATTCAAGTCCATCTCAGCTACAGAAGCTCATGAGTGATTCTGAATACTCTCTCCTAGTCCAACCTACCTCACAGGGTTGTTATGTGGGGGGAAATGGGAAGAGAACATTATGTATACCACCTTCAGGTCCTGCAAAAGGAAGGGAGGATCAGAATGTCAGCAGCTTCATTTTGGCATGAAGTTATGTCTTCTGCATTCATTAACATTTTTCCACCGTAATGTTCATCACATTTTTGCACAAAGGGCTTCCTCTTTTTTCCAGACATTATTAAATTATTATGTAACATTGATTTCAATAGGGTTAGTACATTTTCTGCATCAGGTGGCAGCGCCAATCTTGGCTGATCTTGAACAAAAATCAATGCAAGACCAGATATCATTTGTACTAGGATGGGAGGAGACTACCAGGAAATCTCAGGGCTGAAGGTACACTGGGATGTTGAAGAAAATCCCAAAAGAAGTCAGTGGCAAAGCACTTTTGCTCTGTTTCCAAGAAAACCACATGGGCATCAGGATCAAACTTCTCTTTAGGAAATCTTAATTTTTTTTATAATAGCATACTTTGTTGAACAAAAATATACATATGATTTGGAAACCAAGTATAATACTGAGACACTAATATGCTCAGGGGATCCCTGATTGCTCTGGGTTTCCCCGTGAACCCCACCAGGAGCACTGGTGCCAGGCAATCATGGGGTAGCTAGGCTGAAACTAGCATGGCAACCCCTTGCCCTTTACAAATGAGTATTCTCTGACTGCTTTAAGAGGACTTCGCTGGGCTGTTTGCTGATTTGCTCATTCTGGTGTGCTAGCTAAGAGAATGGGAAGTGCGAAAGGAAGCTAGCACTACATACATTCATCGCTGTATTCAGTCAGCAAGTTCCTGATTAGGAGTTACTTAAAAATGTGTCACTGATCCTTCCTTCCTTTTTTTAAATACTTATTGTGATTGGAGATACAAAGGGGGTATTTTTATGCTCTTGGTAAGTTAGGCTAAAAGAGAGAATGACTGGTTGGAGGAATCTCTGAAGCTGAGTCACTGCAGGTCACATTTGATCCTCTTAATTAACAAAGCATTCGCGTATCTCTAAATACAACTCTATCTCATTTCCCTGCATCGTTCAGAGGTGTTTATCCTGGGGGTGGGAGTCAGCACTAAATGTTGTAAACAAAGATAGGATAGGACAGCACTAAATGTTGTACCTAGAAAGGCTGGAACTGGTGACAATCATGCGCTGCTGGAAAGCCAAGTCAGCTAAAAGTGAACCAAGAGGGGAAAACCCAATCATTGGTTTTCATCATAATAGGGAACTCAGGGGAGAACTGCTAGACTGAAGTGGCTTGTGTGAGAAAAGTGTGGTTGAAAGGAACAAACCTTTTCATTCATAGGGAATACTAACATGGAAGAAGAAGACATGTCTCTTCCTACCTTCAACTCCCATGTTTAAAATGATGTTAAAGTTTCCAGAAATCTAGAATGCAACTGTCCCCCCCACTACAACACCTCCTTATTCTGCTGCCTGCCTTTTTACCCAGGACAGTGAAAAAGGAGACACCCCCCCCCCCAAATGCACATGCCTACCTTCCCTACTTTGTTAGCAGACACTGGCAAAATGGGGACCCTATTACTAGCCTGGCACTGAGGTACCTTTTAGTAATCCTTTTCGGGTACGCCTATATCATGGGGTGCTTCAGTTTCTTGTCTGGCCCTACTTTTAGTGAGGCAGCCATCTCAGACATTATGAGGAAGTGACTATGCAGAACTAGGGTCTTGTAGCCCCCTTTGCATTCTAAAGCAGGGTTCCTCAACCTTGGCAACTTTGAGATGGGTGAACTTCAACTCCCAGAATTCCCCAGCCAGCCTTGCTGGCTGGGGAATTCTGGAAGTTGAAGT